CATCCCTAATTAGTTAATTGAAATACATAAAAAAAAAACATTCCTAATTACTTATATTAAAATTTTGAAAAATGGGCGTTGAATGATGAGTGAGAGAGATGTTGCTGAACTAAAACATAAACATCAATGACAATATATAAGTTATAGCTCAAGTGATTAAGACATATATTAACGATCAAAACATATCGTTATATATATATGCATAGGGACATATGAAACAAATACGTGTTAAAGTATCAAATTAATTTCTTTGGGAGATAAGGTGGTATCCCAAATGTGGCATTTTTAAGTCACTATTTAGAAATTAGAACTATGCATTTCAAAAGTTAATTAATGACTGGATACCACCTACTCAGAAAAGAAATAAAAATAATTATGCACTTCAATATCTTAGAGATCGAAATATCATGTAAAGTTAGGATCAGATAAATTCATTTTACAAACGGCCTAAAGGAGCTAATCCTAATTTTATTAAGAATTCAAAATTAAATCAATTTTTGACGATTTTATAATATTTTTGTTTCTTATTTCTCGTATTTTAGAGAAAATAAGCATCGGATAACTATTCTTATTTTCATTTTTATTTAAAAAAAATCAAAATTGTGTAGAAATTCTTAACGATAAAGTAAAGATTCTTATTTCTGGTTTTATCTTCTATTTTTTTCAAAACATAAATAAAAATATTATTTTATAAATACCTAACAAAAATTTTAAAAAATAGCTATAACATAAAAAATTGAATATTTAATTAAAAAATTAATTTTTATATAAAAAAGTACTTTTTTTAATTTAAACTTTTAGTGGACCAGAGACCAGAAATGATTGTCAAATATACTTCTGTTATTTTTTTTTAATAAAAGAACAATAAATATTAAATAGTTATCACCCGCCAAAACAAGTTAAAAAATCAAGACAGCCTGAGTTTTTTTTTAAGAGAAAAATACTATATAACCATCTAGTTTAAGCAACGTATATTAATTAGTTTGGTTTCGTAATAATCAATTAAATTTGTTGGTTTTTATTTTTATTTTGTTGGTTTGATTTGATTTTAGGTGGTTAGTTTTGTAATAGTTTTGAACTTTTCTTGAATCAATAAAACTAATATAATATGGATTCTAAAATAAAATCTTACATTTCCATTCAGAGTTTTAGATACCAATCTTAATTTCTAAGCTTAATACCTTTTCAATATAAATGTTTGATGTTATACTCTTAACTATTTAAACTAAAAGATAAACAAAATGAACAAAAAAAAAAAAGAAAATTGATGGTATAACGAATCCTTTTTCTTACATCAACACCAAAACTAGAATAGGAAACACTATCTAACAAGAATATTATTTTTTTAATAATAATTAATTTTTTTTTCCTTTCTTACCCATCAAGCTAGATTTTCTTTTCATTATTTAAGAAAAAAAATACATATAATAGGTCTATATGCCTTATTTAAACTCTATTTTTTCAATTTTTAAAAGAGTGCTCTATTTATATGTTATAAAATATTTATTACACATAGATGTTAATAGACGGTATAACGATTTATATCTTGTTAGTTGACTCAAATTTTAACGGAAAGAATTGAGTTCAAATTTATTAAAATTTAAAAATAATATATATTTTTAAAAAATTTTAAGGACTTAATCGAGAAGGTGGTTAAATTTTAATGACGAAAGTAGTATTTAAAATGTCGATGTTGATGAAAATGTCGATGTTCCGATTTTACGGACATGTCGATGGACATATCGATGGACATATCGATGTCGATGGATATTTCGGGAAAAATAATGGAAATTGTGGAAATTGATGGAAATTTTTTGAATTAGCAAATAAAACTTGAATTATAGCTTAATTAGCCTATAACTAATCACCTTCAACCATTAGATGCAAGAATATGACCATTTTAATTATGAAAATGTCCATGTCGATGGAAATATCGAAAAAAGATTTTTTTTTCCTTTAATGAAGATTGATGGAAATTATTTAAATACGTAAAGTAAACTTTAATGGTAAACTTTCGACTACTTCTTTAGTGTTTTTCATAATAGGATTCATTTGGAATGAGATAATTACCGACTTGGTTTCTAAATACATTTCTAAATTCTAATTAACTCATACCTATTTACTTTTTACCTACTTCTATTTTCAAATTTGAATTTACCCATTTTTCAAACACATTTTCAAATCAATCATCAATCCAACTTTACAATCAAATTTACACAATTTTCAAACACCTCAACCTCGTGATTGTGTCATTTTTCCAAATTATCTACCAATGAGATCCATATGTGCTTCATATTCTACTCATTTGAGCAACTACTTTCAAAACTTTCAGTCTAGGATGACCGGGGAGAACTGTTGTAATTTATATCAAAGTTATCAAGATAGTGCGCTAGATCCTCTGAGATCATCTTTTTGGTATTAATTAAGTTACTTATTCTACTTCATGTTTGACCACTATATGTATATAATAATATTTTATTTTTTAAAAATTCTAAGATTATTTCAATCTTTATATATGTCAATATTTCACATATATTGTTCAAGTAAGTAAGGACTAGATTGGATTAGAAATTATCAATAAAGCAAATTTCAAATCTTATTAGTTATACTTTATACAATATTAAAATTCGAATGTTTCATTGAACAGACTAAGATTACAATCATCGAGGTTGTGAGAAATTATAGACTTGTAGTGGCATAGTAAGAAGATGGTGAAAATAAAATAACCTTAAAAAAGAAGAAGAAAAAAAAAAGACATATCGACATTTCGACATGTCGACGACATGGGGGGAAAATCGACTTTTCTCCTATGTCGATGTCGACATGCTCGACACGTTGACATGTCCAGCAACATGTCGACATGTCTCTCGACATTTTGAACCCTGAACCTTGTAAACCTTCGGAATATTTTTTGGGGTGTGCAAACCAAATAGAATAATGYCTTTGGGTTGCACCAAGTCTAAAACCGAGTGGATTTATTTTTTGTCCCATAATCCCCCATTATTATACATGTCATAACACGTAATATCTGTGTACTTTTCTTTAATTATACATCCAGGTTTGTTTAAGTCTAATATGTTGTACGAAAGCAGTATTTAACCAAATAATAGCAATGACAAAATTTTGATTAAAATTAGTAATTTTGGAACCTAAAATAAAATGTTGTGCACATAGGCAGATCTACGTGGGCCTAGGAGGGGCTGGAGCCCTCCTGAACTTTTTAAATTAAGAATATGTATATACAAATTCAAACTAATTTTCAAAATCTCTCTCTCGCACAGCGGTAGTGATAGGCGCTAGCCCCTCCCCCATGTCTCCTGGGTCCTTATTATTTTCGTAATTTTTTTTTCTTAATTCATGATTTTTCCTCCCTTTTTAAATCAGTTTTTTTCTGGTGAGTTTTATAAAAGGAAATTCCTTTTGTCAATTTTACTTTTCAAAAAACGAAAATAGATCCTACATTTTAAAAAAAAGAAATTGTAAATTTTCTATACAAATATGTCATTTTTTTAATTTTACAATCAAATATGTATATCTAAAAAAAATGAAAAGGAAGAGAATATATAGATTGGTAAAACATTTACGGTCTAATGTTGCATGCAATTTCAAGACTCGTTTTATTGTCAATTTATACATTGTTAGGTATTTTGGTATTTTTTAAAAGTAAATTATTGTATCGATGTCTTTTTTTTTCTTCTTTAAAATCATCATTTTCATATTCAATTGTTCTTATTTTATATACTTTTTTATTTTAATTTTTCATAATCTAAAGAAGTCGAAAATTTGAAGATTCATTGTCTAAGGTAAGTTTTTATTAACTTTATAAATTTTATTATTTGACGTTATTTTAAATATAATAATTAGTAAAAGTTTGGACTAAAATATAAAATTTGCATGTTTCAACAACTTTTGGAAGTGTAGACTATAATATAAAGTTGTTATGTTTCAACTTCTTTTATATAATGAAATTATCATCATTTGTATTTTATGTATTTAACTTTTTATTTTATTATTATTAATATTTTTTGTAGATTTAATTTGAAATATAAATAGAGATATTATATATAAAAAAAACCGATTAAGTCATCCTCTTGAAAAAATTACTAAGTAAATTTAGAAAAATTACCGACAAAATCTAGTCTAAAAACTAGAATTACCAATTTCAATTGTAATATTCAAGACCAAGTTTGTATAGTATATTTACGAATGACTTACAAATTAGTATGAAGTTCCCCTCAACAAAATTTATGGATCCACCGCTGGCGGTGCAATTGGGACCAGAATTATAATATAGGAATTGATTCGGTGACATTTCTATTTCTTGTTTATTTTTTAATAAAATAGAAATGTGTTTGATAATCATTTCTTACCTTTCCTTCTCTAAAATTAAAATTTTAATTTTTTAAATATTTTTATTCAAAATTTTTATGTTATATTTATTTTGTAATATTTAATATGCATTTTATAAGTTCAGAATGATTAAGCAATACCTTTATTTATGTTTTTTAAAAAATTAGAAAAAAAACGACAAACAAGAAGTTTTATTTTATTCTTTCAGAATTTTTATACAATTTTAGAAATATTATTTAAAAATGAGGGACAAGAAACATGAATAATTATTAAACGGATATGTTTAATCAGCAATTACTTAAAAAAGAAATTGTTCCAAAATAATGAAGAGAAAATTCATCATTTTAAAATTAGGTAGAGCAAATTGAAACGAAACAAAAATCATGGGGTAAAAGGGTAATTTAATCTTTAAAAAAAAGTTTTTTATTTAAAAAGGATTACTAATTCGGACAAATGTTTTTGTTTTAAATTTTCTCACCCGTTAAACGCAAACCGTTAGGCCATCTTGTTCGCGGGAGGCTCGGAACTAGCTTCGGTCTCACTTTCTCCAACAAAATTTGGAGGGAGAGATAAAACTGAAGAGCGAGAAAGATTTTTGAGAAACAGAGAGAAACATTGGAGAGAAAGGGAAACCCAGAAAAAANTCTTCACTTTTCAATGGCCCTTCACCCAGAATCAATAACCCCCATCTCCTAATTCAACACCCAATTAGTTTTCTGGGCAATTGGGATTGTTTGGATTAGTGTAGGATTTGATTTGATCTGACTCGATTTGATTTTCTCTTTTCATTGTGGATTCTTGAAAGTTGTAATGGCGACAGAGCAAGTTTTTCCGTTTTCTGTTGCTTCTGTGGTTGAAGATGTTCTTCAGCAGCATGGAATCCATACGCGGAACATCGACTTGATTTCGAAGAAGGCTGAAGAAGACTGTATGTTCTTTGTTTTCTTGTTTTCTGGCCACCCTAGAATGAGATGATTTGGAATTTGTTTCGTTTCTTTTCAATTTGATTGATATGGTAAAATACAACCATTTCTGGTGCGGAAATGCATTTTTAAAAATTTGGGATCATTGGTTAGATTTTTCTTTTCTGTTTATATATTTTTCACTCTAAATTATGTTGTGATTGGGTTTGATTTGGGTTCCTGAGGAATTCAATCCCATTGGCCAGTTTGGTGCTTAGATCAATTGGATTTCACCAACATGAGATACTGAAAGGAAAAAAGAGAAAAATCTAGCTATCTAGGTAAATGAAGCACAGAGAAATTTAAAAAAAAAATGTGGGGTTTAGGTGAACTTTCCCCTTTCAAGTACAAAAATTACATGATATTAATGATGAGATTTGGTTGATGTGAAAATGAAACTGAAAGTTCATCATATTATTACTTTGAAGCCTTGAGAAGGTATGAAGCAGCTGGGTGGCTGAGGAAAACCGTTGGAGTTGTTCTTGGTAAAGACTTGCCAGCTGAGCCTTCTGAAGTGGAATTTAGGCTTGGATTGAGAAGCGGAATAATTCTTTGCAATGTTCTCAATAAGGTTCTGCCTGGGGCAGTGTCAAAGGTATAATATAGTTTATCTATTTTCTCCATGAAAATTTTTGGCTCTACATCATCTAAAATGATGGCCATTCAATTACTGTTTTTTGTGTAGGTTGTTGAAGGCCCCTGTGATTCAGTTATTATTCCTGATGGGGCACCCTTATCTGCATACCAGCACTTTGAAAATGTGAGGAAGTTCTTGGTAGCTATAGAAGAAATGGGGTTACCAACTTTTGAAGCCTCTGATCTAGAACAGGTAAATCTGGTAGTTTTGTTGAACCAGATTGATTTTATCTTCTGGTTGTAGTGATATATATTCCAAGTCTATGGTTATGTCAGGGAGGAAAATCTGGAAGGGTCGTGAACTCCGTTCTGGCGCTCAAATCGTATAGCGCCTGGAAACAAGGAGGCGGAAATGGGGTGTGGAAATATAGTGGGGCAGCAAAATCGCCTACATCGAACAAAAATGTGGTGCTCAAAAATTCAGAATCATCCATGAATTCTTGTGCAAGATCCTCATCAGCTAGTGATAATTTTTCTCTTGAACTGTCCTCATGTGATGACCATCCTGGCAATGAAGCAGTGAGTGAGCTTTTTCATCCTTCTTTTCTTTGTTTGCCTCTTCTACTTTTTGTTATATTGTTTGTTGCTCAAGTCGGTTTAAGGTGCCTTAGGTTCATTCCAATTTTGTCTGCAGGGATCGCCCCGTCCTTTACATATGCTACTTTGTCAACTTCTTTCTAACAAACGGCTTGAAGAAATCCCCACTGTAAGTGCTAACTTCTAATTCTTGAGTTTTCTTTTCTTGTCACAGTAAAAATTAAAGGACAGATCTCACAGTTCTGTGTCTTTGAACAAATACTACCAAGTACTTACTTCTTCTCCCTTCATTTCCTAACCTGTCCTTTGCTTTTTTTCTAATGAATCCATAGATTGTGGAATGCATGATTGATAAAGTCATGGATGAGTACCAGCGTCAGTTAGCAACTCATAACAATATGGTATACTCTCTATTTCACACGGTATTTTATGTCAGCAATCTCTATTTAGAGGATGTGGAATGTTTTAATTTCTCCCTGCATCTCAAGAGTAATTATTGTTAAGAGTTAACATCTCGAATTCTGTCTAGATTGTAACTTCTAATCTTCTAATTGTCTTGATCGCATAGCTTAAGTGATAGAACTTGATATTTTACTTATGAACAGAGGGTAAAAGCCAAAGGGAGATTTGAGAGCTCCCCTATCTCTCCCAAAATATATACTAGAATATCCTCTCCATTGGCTCTATCCAGCTAAATACTCTAGCCCGTCATTTGCTTACGTCATTACATTAGTTGCAAGTGGGACCGACATGTTAACTAACAATCTAACTAAAATCTAAGGTTGTGTTTTCATATCAAGTTCTCCCTCTCTAGACCCATTTCCGTTGATACACATTTATGATTGGTGTGGTGGCCTATCATTAAATTGATGTATCTTCACTCTATTCTCTGTTTATTCTGCACTTATGATCTTTCCTTCTGCCAATTTGACAGATGAAAGTAAGTCCAGAAGACATAGCAGGATATGTATCTGATAAGTCTCCTCCAGAAAGCAGTTCTGCTTCTGCCAATGAAAAGGTAGCTGTGAAGTTATATATCTTTCGAAAATATTTTGGCAACCAAGTTAACAATTTAAGAAAATTCCTTCTTAATCTTGATGGGGTGTGTGTATATATATATTTTTTTGTTAAGATTGAAGAGGATGCAACAAGTTTTACTGAAGAAATAAGTAGTCCAGAAGCAACAACTTGTGCTGAAGAAGCAAGTTGTCCTGAAGAATTAAGTTGTCCCGAAGAATCAAGTTGTCCCGCAGAAAGCTGTCCTGAAACAATAACTGACAATTCTGATTGTTATAATAATCGTGATGAGGAATCGGAACGTAAAGCGTTGAGAAGACAGATGCTGATTGAACAGCAAGAGAGAGACATAGAGGTAGCTGGATTTCTATCATACGGGCCAGTAGTTGGTTACTTCTATGGAATACGTAACTTCAAAAAATTGATTTCTTTTTTGTAGATGTTGAAGGGTGCTCTTGGTGAAACCAGAGCAGGAATGCAGATTTTGCAAATGAAGTACAGAGAGGAATTTAACAATCTTGGTACAAATTATTAACGAAGAAGCCAAATTTTTCTATCATTCTTATACTCGCTGCCTTTAAATTTATTCTCAGTCTAATTGCTAGCTGCCTAAATTAGGTAAGCACATGAGTGGTGTGGCTTATGCTGCTTCAGAATATCGGAGAGTTCTTGAAGAAAATCGAAAACTGTATAATCAAGTCCAAGACCTGAAAGGTAGCATTTCCAGTGGCTTGGGCTTTTAGTTTTGTAATGTTAACATTCTAAAACTAATAATGGTCATGCATTACAATCTATCAGGAAATATCAGAGTATACTGTAGAGTTCGACCGTTCCTTGGTGGACACTCAAATCGTCCCTCGACCGTTGATCGCATCGATGAAGGGAGTATGAGCATTATTTCACCATCAAAATACAGCAAGGAGGGAAGGAAATCATTCAGTTTTAACAAAGTATTTGGACCTTCTGCAACACAAGGTTCACCAACTTCTTTTGATGGTCTTATCATATATTTTTCTTTTCTGATATATGAATATTTAGTGTCGACTTTCTTTCTGTGCAGGGGAAGTATTTGCGGATACTCAGCCTTTGATCCGGTCTGTGCTTGATGGATATAACGTCTGCATATTTGCTTATGGCCAGACTGGATCCGGAAAAACCTTCACTATGGTAAGAGATTAAGCACCAACATACCACAGCTTATTGTTTCTTTTTCAGTGGTGTTACTGAATATCTCATTTGTAAAACTCCAGTCAGGACCAGAAGAGCTCACTGAGGAAACTTTAGGTGTAAACTACAGGGCATTGAGTGATTTGTTTGTTCTTTCACAACAAAGGAAACAGACCATCTCCTATGACATATATGTTCAGATGCTCGAGATTTACAATGACCAAATTAGGGATCTCCTTGCGACGGATTCCACTAACAGAAGATATCCTTCCATTTTTTCTTTCCCCTCTTCTTTCTTTATTTTCTCTCATATAATGAAGCTCTTGATCTTTCTATAATGCACATCCTTAAGTCATAAATACATTGGAAGTTCGTAATAGTTCTCAAAATGGGATAAATGTGCCGGATGCAACCCTTATACCTGTATCATCAACATCAGATGTTCTAAATTTGATGGATCTTGGCCAAAAGAACCGTGCTGTGAGCTCGACTGCCATGAATGATCGGAGCAGTCGTTCCCATAGGTACATTGGCCATCAACTGAGATGGGAACTACTCTTGAAATAAGTTTAGTTTTAAGATTTAGGCAAGACTTGTAATCTCATATAATCTAATTGTTTATGTAAACAATTGCAGCTGTCTAACTGTTCACGTTCAAGGAAGAGATTTGACATCCGGAGCGACTCTTCGTGGGTGTATGCATCTTGTTGACTTGGCAGGAAGTGAAAGGGTTGACAAGTCGGAGGTAATAGGAGATAGATTAAAAGAGGCACAACATATCAACAAATCTCTTTCTGCATTAGGAGATGTTATTGCCTCTCTTGCCCAAAAGAATTCACATGTCCCTTATAGGAACAGTAAACTCACACAGTTGCTCCAAGATTCACTTGGTATGTTTTTACAATACTAGTTTCTTGGTAGGGAAACTGTCGAGTGTCTCCCTTTTGGCTGGCCAATCACATTTGCTTCTATATCTTTCAGGAGGTCAAGCCAAGACACTGATGTTTGTTCATATAAGTCCAGAGCCTGAAGCTCTTGGAGAAACAATGAGTACATTGAAGTTTGCTGAAAGGGTTTCAACTGTTGAGCTCGGTGCTGCTCGGGTTAACAAAGATAGTGCCGATGCGAAGGAGCTCAAGGAACAGGTTTTGTACCTTTTATTGTCTTTCATTTGAATGATAAGATTTGGAAGAGCATTTTCATCTCTTTCTTATTTTTGAAAAGAAGAATACCTCCCTGCTAACTGGGTCATAGTAACCACTAAATTTTTTAACCATGGTCTTTTTTCTCTCAAAACCTCTCTATATTCCTCTCTCCCATCCGTCAAAACTTAGTGGTGATCAGCAAGAAAAGTAATGGTATATACTGTCTCTCGTGCTTTTACATGACAACTTTATTTCTTAATGCCAGATAGCGAGCCTCAAAGCAGCCTTAGCGAAGAAGGAAGGTGAAACGGAGCAACATTCTCGATCAAGCACTCCAGAAAGAAGTATGGTGAAAACTTTCTCATCATCCCCTTCACTTCCTAGCTGGAAAAGTGTTGTGGAGATGTCTATTAATAGAACAAACTCAATGGAAGATGTTCGTAACGTCGAGGTATAAGTTCGTATTCAAAATCAATGTGTAAATTTTGTGTAGTTATTTAAACAAGCGATTACTTTCAATTCAAATATCTGAGACAGTCAAAATATAGATAATCCTCATGTGGGTATGAATCATCTTTTGAAACACATCTTGCTCATACATGCTTAGTTGCTAACAGGCTCAAAACAAAGCTAGCACGAAGCTGAAAAGAAGAAGCTTAGATCCACGAGACATATTACGTAACTCACAACAATGGCCGCCCATAAGTGCAGCACTCGGCAGTAGGAGGCCGGATCAAGATGATAAAGAATCGGTTTTGAGTGATTGGGACGACAAACTTACCATTAACAAGAATGAAAACTGGGATATTGAAGACAAGTTGCCTGAGACATTTGATCAGAATTGTGTTCTAGATCCTTCAAAGGTGTACCCTGAAAACCTGTTCAATACTACCGATGATTCTGATGATCATGAGGCTACAAATAGCGAAACATCAGAGCCAGAAGTAATTTGGCAGTCAAGCCTTCCACTTCCAAAAGCTACAAGCATTCCAAATGGTTTCGGATCAAAGATAAAGAAACCAACTCCTCCTAAGCAAGCCAAGAGCCCAGAAACTAGGTAACTAATCAATCTTTTTTATTTCTCTCTCTTCTTTGATCGTCGTAGTTAGAAGAATATAGTTTATGTTTCTCTTCGTCACTGAAACCTTCTCTGACATACCACGTGTCTTGAAAAGAATTTGGAAATATTCAGGAGTGCTTTTGACAGGATCAAAAGCACTTCTCACTCAAAATCTTGATGTTTAAAAGTGATTTATTAGTACCTTTTGAAAAAGAAGTAAAAAACAGTTAAAATACATTCTAGAGTGTGTTTGGCCCTGGTGCTTGTTAGTTGTTAAGGAAGTACTTTCAGTGCAGAATCAAGTACTATTTACTAAAGTGCTTATAATCAAAGTAGTTTTAAACCGATCTCTCAATCTATCTATCACACTTTATCCGTATGTTTGTTGCACTAGATTGATATATTTGATTATTTCTGCAACTAGGAGTTTCATTCCTTCATTGATTCCTTCTCCATCACGGAAACCACAAGCCGGAGTTGCCCAACCGCTGCCAGTGCACAAGGCAGCAGGCAAACAGGCATTTCCAGTTGAAGGGAAGAGGAGGGGTGGCTATACTAAGTGAGTACTGTGGGATGGAGTGTGTTCATGAACTTATTCTTCCTCATTTTTGTTTTTTCTTTTCTTGTATCTATTTATTGTTGTATATAGAAAGAGAGAAGAGAGAAGAGAGAGAGAGCGAGAGAATTCTCTGATGAAGTGGCAATAATTCAAGTTGCCTAAGTTTCTCTGTTCAATCTTCAAATGCTTGGTGATGGGGTCCCTCCTTGCACAGTCCAATTTTTTTATATATTGGTTCTAGAGTGATACAAGTTGCAACTTGGGAGCAAAAAGAAAAATAGAAACCTCGGAGTTCTTGTTTGTACCACTATCCCTTTGCACCACTGATTCCTTTTTTCTTTTAGTATTACAATTGAAACGATGGTGAGAATTCAAACATTTTATTCTATCTATAAAGAAGGTTATTAAGGGTCTGTTTTGTATACCATACGAATTTTATTTTATTTTTTTTGATTTATTGAATCCAATGATTTAGTGAATATCTGTTTGGAATGTTTATTTTTTAAAATTGTTTTTGGACTTTTTTTATTTTTTTTGATTTATTGAATCCAATGATTTAGTGAATATCTGTTTCGAATGTTTATTTTTTAAAATTGTTTTTGGACTTTGTGATCTAATAAAAGAAATTCTAAAAACAATATTGGTATGTTTTCAGTGAATTTAATAACCGTTTTTAGCTTGTTTGCCATGCATACATTCGTTTCTCTTAGTGATTTTTAAGTTTGTATCAAAATTATAAAAGTATAGTTGGGTTAATCATTGATAGCATAATGATATGTTGATGATATAGAATCCAAAACAATTTGAACAATATTGAAAAATAAAAGGGGAATTGTAATGAAGAGTATATAGTTTGTCCAAGGATTTTACAAATATGACAAATTTGTAGGTTGAAATGTTTATCTCTTGGATTAGACATTACAATTATTCTTACTCAAATCTTCTTGGTTAGAGATAGATGCAAATTACGGATGAACTAAGCTCATATTGACCAATATGAGTAAGAGTTTTGTATACCTAAGTATAAAAATATATTCTACTACTCTTCCAAATATGATAAAACTACTAGTGCAGGGTGATGTAGGCAATTGTATARCTCAAACAAGCTACAGTAAAATTCAAGCATTAGATTGTTACTTTAAATGAGAGTAGAGTAACAAAAAATGTTTTTCAATCTTAATACTAAATTTAAATAAAGTTAACTTTGTTCATTTTGGTCCATGTATTATCATAATATATTTATTTTGGTCCCTATATTTTTAAAAAGTGACCAATTTGTTTCCTATTTGCATGAACCCCTATAATACAATTTATTTCTGTATTTTAATAAATTTAGTGAATGAAGTGTCAGGCTAAAATTATAATCCAAATAAATTAAATACAAATGAAAATAAATTGACCAAACTAGACGTTTCAAAGTACCAGTACTAAAACAAATAAAAGTTGAAAGTATAGTAACCAAAATACATATTTGGAAAATACAAACACCGAAACAAACCAAAATCGAGAGTACATTTTTTTTTAAGAAAAGAAGAGACTTTTATTAAGAAGAAATAAGATCTTGATTCGACACAGGGGCCAACCAATCACGGATACAAATAAACCAACATACACTTTCCTCTAATTCGAAAGTCCTGCGAGCGAGATAGTGGGTACAAAAATTACCATGTCTGTTTACTTTATTAAAAGAGATGATGCCGCAAGCATCTTGAAGGTGTAAATTTCTTTGACTACCCACGTTATTTCAAGAAGATCACCGTCTTCCCTTCGCAACAGCTTATCTACCTCCATCGAGTCCATTTCCACCTGAATAGGATAAGAAACCATAAACAACAGGTTTCGTATCCGTTCCAGAATAGCCATAGCTTCCAACATCTTCACACTCCCACAATTATCGACGAAACGGTTGCCTACAAGAATGATGACACCTTTCCAATTACGCAAGACCCACCCAAGTCCCCCTAACTGCTGAGTCTCCGACCAAGCCGCATCAATATTCAGTGTCCAGGTAAAAGGGGAGGAGGGGTCCAGGTAATTCTTGCCTTAATTTCTCCGTTTTTATGACGTGTTGTTTTTGCTCTGGTGATTTTTCGGTCCAATCTTGTGTTGTTTTCGATAATGACTTTCCTTGCATTGTGAATTAAGGTTTGCGTATTAGGACTATCCCTTTTGAAAATCACATTGTTCATGTGCGTCCAAATTACGCACAAACCAATCATCAACATCTCCACTTCCTCCGTGTCGCATGATCTAGCATCCATTTCCAATAGTCCCAAATTTTCCAGCTGCACCTGTCAACGATTTGGATACCTTACAATCCCAAAATAGATGAGTCGCCGAATCGTTTTTCCTGCAAAACACACAACACAAATCAGTAGCAATTCGTTTCTTACAAAGATTTAATTTTAGGGGAATTATATCTTTTACAATCTTCCAACAAGCCAATCTTTATCTTAGGCACCACATTTGCATTCCAAAGTTGCTTCGGTTTGTAGATCTGCATTGGATGAAGAAGGGTTCTCTGCATTAACCCCTTCTTGTCCATCCCCAAATGATTTTGTCGTCCACATCACCTCTTGGAATATGAATTTGCAGTATTTGCTCGGTCTCGGTGGGTATAAAGTGAGCTCTTATTTCTCCAATCCCAAGTTCCCCTCTCAGCTTACAACCAAACAACATGATAATCTCATATATTATTTGGCGTGTAGATGAGTTTGAAATAATGACCCGTCCAAGTCATTCGAGCATGCCAATTGCCAACTCCAATTCAACATCTTTTTTCTTTTCTTTTTTAAATACAACAACATGTTGAAGTGAGAAGTATCTACCTCTCTACATCTACAACTCTAGAAATCTACAAGCATAAGATATTTTGTAGGGAAAAAAAAATCAAGAAAAAGAATGGACACGTGTCAGGTGGAGAGGTGGGTGTAGAGAGAGGAATGGAAAAGCAGTGGGTGAGGTTAGGAAATAAAAGATTGAACAGCAAACGTCCACTTGGCTTTGGGCGGACAATTGACCTTTCCAGCTGTGAGTGGCTAAAACCACCTCAACTGGGTCCCACCTCCTCCACGTGGCCACGTTACCTTTTTTTAATATTAAAGAGACAGCATACCAACAACAACAATTTTTTTGCCACTTCAAAAATTGAAAAGAAAAAAAAAATATATATATATTATTTTTTGAGATTCCTTTACCATTACACTTTGGATTTTTATGATTAGGGTTTGAGATTTTTCTCCCACTACATACTTTCTTTATTTCTCTTCCTTTTCATTGCACTCCCTTCAACTATGACTAGGCTTTTGCCATTTGTAATTTTCATTTTGTGTTAAAAGCATATGTTTTTTTAGAACTCGGTCAGGCACGGGTTGGATAAAGAATTATTCGTAGTAGTATTAAACGAAACCAATGATCAATATTATGTGTGATGTTTGTATGATATGAGCAGTTGAATTAATGGATTAATGTATTTCTATATAAATTTAGATTAAAAAATTGAAAATAATCGATAGTTACTACCTATACTAAAAAGGGTACGACTCTCTTTCTTTAATTTGTGAACAATTATTTACTAGGCAAATAAAAGAATTAACATCATTTTACGTTCCTTTTTCAATACTCTTTGGAACATCAATCATTAGGGCTCTGATTTTTTTTTTCTCCCACAAGCTTAATAACAATGCCTTCGATAAAATATTGCAAATATATTGATGAACCTTCAACCATTTGGCATTATTGTTATCTTAAAGGAGTTTTCCATCCGATCAAATTCTTTTTACCATTAAAATATATATATGTCAACTTCTAATTTTTTTTTAGTATAACAAGCAGAAGTGAGAATTCGAATTTATGGTCTCTTGATTAGAGACAGATGTCAATTACTATTGAACTAAGCTTATGTTGGCATATGTGAACTTAGAATTGCTTAACAAATTTTTATTCCAAAGAGATTATGATATGAATCATATAAAAAATGCTTTAAATTTGATCATTCTTGAACTTTCTTAGTATTTTTAGATCATATTTTATTTTGGTTTCTAAGCTTCCATAAATATTCATCTTGATTTCTATCATTGAATATTAGGTTACCTATTTTTAACTAATATCATACTCAATATATGTGCCTTTGGATAGAAGTTTATGTTGCCCTACAAAGTTTTAGTTAAATTTAATTGTAAACTTTGAAAACAAATGTCAAAGGTAATTTTAGAGAACTCAAATAACATCAATACAAAAATTTAGGACTAAAATATTATTTAAAAAAAAAAGTGAAGGAAAAATGCTGGGGGTAAATATGACAATTTTATGATGAAAATTATCATAGATTTGAAGCTTGTATTTTTTTTTCTTTCTTTTATAAAGTCGCCATCGTAATGCCTGCATTTTGACGTTGCTTGCAATATCATTATCACTTTAATTATTTTCGCGATCAAGTAAGTGAAAGAGAAATATAACAGAAGTCTCCCTCTATTAAAACTTAAAAAAAAATTAATTTTTAGCCTATCAACCGTGAGTAGTCCTAAGACGCCTTAGCATAGGACACAAAAATGAAAGAAGAAAATCCTCTATTTTAACGAAAAGATCATTCAAATTTTCATATTAAAATAAATACAGATGAATATTCTCTAAGGGGATTGACTTTTGATGCATTTGATGAACAAAAGAATCATTGATCAAAAGCTTTATATATAATGCTCATTGTTGGCATTACCTTTATTTTATTTTATTAACCAACTACCATTTAAAGTCAAATCTTCATTTTTTGTGATAATATATTATTGTTCATATTCATTTAAATGAATAAATAAATGTACATCATATTATATAACTACGGGAGGTTGTGACTTTTTCTTAATTCGTGGGCATTTTTCTACTACTATAGAATATATAATTTTTATATGTATTAAGTGAATATAATATTTCCAAGAATATATACTTAGTCGAAGATCGATGGAGACGAGAAAATACATATTTTTATGTCGTGTTAGAATTTATTATATTAAATTAAAGTTATTAAAAGTAAATGAGTATTTTGTTGAGATTATTCACATATACATGTCCATTGCGGTAGTTTTGAAAAACTATCATACTTTTAAGAGAATAATGTACGTAGATAGGAAACTTGATAAATTTTTAATCATGTAAGTAAAATTTTAGTTGCCAAAAAACAAAGTAAAATGGTAAAAAGTAGGTTAATGTTGAGATGATGATAATTACAATACAAGGCTAAAAAAAAAAAAGAAGTTGAGACATTGATATGAAAATGATCGTCGAATATATGTTTTATATTATTTTTCTAAT